TAGCCTAGTTCTCCTAACCGCAGCAGTAAAATTGTTTTATTAGCTAGACAAATTTTAATCCAGCTTACCTTAGAATCTAGCCGGCTATAACTTCATTACTTAGTTTAGACACCAATGTACCTCTTAATTTATACAGTCTAGTCTCTTAGTTTAGATTTACTTGGCTTTGATAGTGTAGTCTAGTCCTCTAAACCTAATTATAGGTCTTTAGCCTATTGCAGTCTCAGCAACATTGTTGTCCTCTGTTACTGTGCTTGTAGCACACCTATCTAGAAAGATGATGGTCTGACCTCTGATAAATGGTAGCATCAGAGCTAGCACCAGTACTACTACACTTCTTGTTGAGATTGTGGGGATATGAGCCCAGTGCTGACTTTAATCAGCGTCACTTTCTGACTACTTATACCGCCAGAAATAGTACCAGCAATACTATCACTCGACTGCACTCCTAGTTAGTAGTATTAGAAATATCAGTAGCAGTACCAGTCTTGCCTTCCAGAACTCAGACTTGACAGCTACTCAAGGTGGATATTTAGTCGGAATAGCTTCAACCCACAGTCACACTCCCTGCTGGGATCAGGGAAATATGAGCAGACGTTCTGTAAAGTCTAAGCTACAGATGGATACTGTGGTAGGCCTATAGGTAGCCTACATACGGCAAACTGCATGACATAAGGGCATGGTAAGACTTGTACATTACTTTAAAAACGCTCTATTATTATTCAAATGCTAATCACTATTACCTCACACAGATTGGGAGGGCATTTCGGGTGCGACTCCTTTAAAAGCACACACAGGCAGTACTTATACTATACTATCTACTGGTCTTAGTAAGCATGATTACTCAAAATTAGCACTTTTAGCATAGGCACGTACCTACAGCAGCAGTATCTTCGTTCATGCGGCTCGATGGATAGAGTTGAGAATGCGGAAACCAAGGCAAAGGCTGCTGCGCTCAGGATCCCCAGCATGTATCTACCCGGAATAGTTAAACACAGATTCACACACCTTGTTCAGACAAAGGAGATATGGGCCCTAGCGTTGGCTTAATCAACGTCACCTCTGACAAATG